CTAGGTGTTTCCTCCCAGTGTGTATGTTATTTGTTGTTGTTGTTGTTGTTGTTGTTGTTATTGTAGGCTAGATCTTTATCTGATGTGTGTGTTTTATTTGTTGTGAGCCAGGTGTTTCCTCCCAGTGTGTTGTTGTTATTTGTTGTTGTGAGCCAGGTGTTTCCTCCCAGTGTGTGTATTTATTGTTACTTGTTGTTGTTGTTTGTTGTTGTTGTGAGCCAAATTTTCCTCCCAGTGTGTGTGTTGTTGTTGTTGTTATTTATTGTTGTTGTTGTATTTGTTTATTTGTGAGTAGTGTTTCCTCCCAGTGTGTGTGTTGTTGTTGTTATTTATTTGTTGTTGTTTTTTGTAGGCATAGATGTTTCCTCCGATGTGTGTGTATTTGTTGTTGTTGTTGTTGTTGTTGTTGTTATTGTAAGCTAAAATGTTTCCTCCAGTGTGTGTGTTTGTGTTGTTGTTGTTGTTGTTGTTGTTGTAGCTAGATGTTTCCTCCCAGTGTGTGTGTTGTTGTTGTTGTTGTTGTTGTTGTTGTGAGCTAGATGTTTCCTCCCAGTGTGTGTGTTGTTGTTGTTGTTGTTGTTGTTGTTGTTGTTGTTGTTGTTGTTGTGAGCTAAGTGTTTCACTCCAGTGTTATGTTTATTGTTGTTGTTGTTATTTGTTGTTAGCATGAGCTAGGTGTTTCCTCCCAGTGTATGTTGTTGTTTGTTATTAGTTGTTGTGAGCTAGGTGTTTTCCTCCCAGTGTGTGTGTTGTTGTTGTGTTGTTGTGTATTTGTTGTGAGCTAGATGTTTCACTCCCAGTGTGTGTTGTTATTTGTTGTTGTTATTTGTAAGCTAGATGTTTCCTCCCAGTGTGTGTGTTATTATTATTGTTATTTATTGTTATTTGTTGTTGTTTAGTTGTTGTTATGAGCTAAGTGTTTCCTCCAATGTGTTGTTGTTGTTGTTGTTGTTGTTGTTGTTGTTGTACATGTAAGTTATTTCTCCCAGGTGTGTTTATTTGTTGTTTTATTTATTGCTGAGCTTAGATGTTTCCTCCCAGTGTGTGTGTGTTATTTGTTGTTATTATTAGTTGTAGGCTAGATGTTTCTCAGTGTGTGTTATTGTTTTGTTGTTGTTGTGAGCTAGGTGTTTCCTCCCAGTGTGTGTGTTGTTGTTGTTGTTGTTGTTGTTGTTGTTGTTGTTGTTGTGAGCTAGGTGTTTCCTCCCAGTGTGTGTGTGTTGTTGTTGTTATGAGCTAAGTGTTTCCTCCCAGTGTGTTGTTGTTGTTGTTGTGTTATTGTTGTGACTAGGTGTTTCTCCAAGTGTGTGTGTTGTTTAGTTGTTTGTTGCTGAGCTAAGTGTTTACTCCAGTGTGTGTTGTTTGGTTGTTGTTGTTGTTGTTGTGAGCTAAGTATTTTCCTCCCAGTGTGTGTTGTTGTTGTTGTTGTTGTTGTTGTTGTTGTGAGCTAGTGTTTCCTCCCAGTGTGTGTGTTGTTGTTGTTTTTGTTGATCTTGTTGTGAGCCAGATGTTGTCTCCCAGTGCTGCTGTTTGCTGCTGCTGCTGCTGCTGCCTGTGCCTGCTGTTGCTGCTGCTGTTGCTGCTGCTGCTGTTGTCTGCTGTTGCTGCTGCTGTTGCTGCTGCTGCTGCATTATGAGTCAGTATTCTAGATGGTGATTCCTATTTTAACCTTAACGTTACGACCCGTTCTGTAAATTTATATATAAGCTTCCATGTTTATATTGTTGTCCTGTGTTATTTATGGACACTGATATACAGTCATAAAAATTGTACTATTGTAACACCAATATATAAACACATATATATATATATATATATATATATATATATATATATATATATATATATATATATATATATATATATATATATATATATATATATATTTTATCCTCAGTCACGTTTCATCTTTGGATATTATCAGCTTACAATAGAATCAAAGTATTGCCTCTACTACCTTAAAGGAAAGACTTTACAGTACCAGCAGCGTAAATGGTTGACAGCTAAGCATTGTACACCATCCTACACCTTAACAAACTCTCTAGTGAGGTAGATATTGGTTCATATGGCACAGTTACTGTACACTCAGTTTCCCTTCTTCATTTCAAATGTTCCCCACACAGCCACACCTTCACGCTCTATGACCTCGGGGAAGTAACACGCTTGCATAATGGAACTAAGTAATTTTCCTAAAAAAAGTATAATTTAACGCAATAGAGAACAAGTTAGAAGGGCGGCAGGCCGACGAACATTCTGATGCTGAGTGAGAGTGAGAGGGTGTACGGTACTGTAGAGGCTAACATCCCTTCTGCGTGTGTGTGTGTGTGTGTCTTCAGCAGTAGGGAGCTGAAATTATCTTCAAAGTTACACGGATATCGAGCAGTGGTTCTCCCCACACTGCTATAGGGCAGCGAGAATGGGACACATACAGGAGGAACCTCAAGGCACTTGAAAACTTTCACCAACGTAGTCTACGTTCCATCCTCCGAGTTCGCTGGGAAGACACAAGAGAACAAATGCCAATATTCTTGCGTACACCAACTGCAGGACCACCAAGGCTACCATTATCCATGAACAACTACGCGGGACTGCCCATGTTATCTGCATGAACGACAGTAGACTTCCAAAGCAGCTACTTTACAGTCACCTAACGAATAGTAAACGTAACGCTGGCGGGCAACTGAAAAGGTATAAGGATAGTCTTAAGACAAATTCGAAAAATTGCCAAATCGACCCCCTCACCTGGGAGACGATTACGTAACGCTTGGAGGTGAACCACAAAAGAAGGTGTCAATAATTTTGAGTTAGCCCGACTAAATAACGTGGCAGACAAGCGCCGACGCCAGAAAGACGCTGCCCCTCGCTGGAAAGACGTTGCCGCCGCCCCTCCAGCACTAGATGTAGCCCCCCACATATGCAGCATCTGTAAACGATCCTGCCGGTCCCGTATCGGCCTCTTTAGTAACCGAAGAACTCACCAACGCAGGTGACACCCTTAATAACTCATGCCATTGTATCATAGTTGGAAGATCGTCATTCTCAGTTCCGAGTGACAGCAAATTAGTAGTAGTAGTGTGTGTGCGTGTGTGTGTGTGTGTGTGTGTGTGTGTGTGTGTGTGTGTGCGCGCAGTTACTAAGTTTCTGATCGGCAGCAGATGGTGTAGGGGTGAACACCGTTGCAGTGCCGGGCTTTTGTCCCTGGTTCCATCTCTCTTGTCATCTAATGATGGTGTTTGTTACTTATATTGTAATTAACAATAGGTACTTCAGTTTATGTCTTCACTTAGTAAAGTAGATACATGTTTAAAAATACTGTATATACATTAATGGCATTAATGAATCTTCACTTTTTGATAAACTGTAAATCCGCTTTTGGTGAGAGTTAAGTTGAGGTGTGATGGGTGACTTGGAGGTGTGATGGGTGACTTGGAGGTGTGATGGATGACTTGGAGGTGTGATGGATGACTTGGTCCTCTACAGTATCCTTTCTTCCTTCCTTCACTGTGTTACATTAAGGAACTTGGTATGGTAAATATAATACAGTCTATATTTCCAAGTAAGTAGATGACAATGAACAAATGTGAAGATCGATGAGAGGATAATATTAAATTATACTCTTGTAAAAGCTTGGTGATATTAAAATGTTATTAATTAATGTAAAGTTATAACAAGTAGAACACAGAAGGATATTTGAGGCAGAAGAGATGTCATTAGGTAATGTTGATCTTGTGCTTACAGCCTGCAGTGTATTACAGTCAGTATTGTAAGAAGGTCAAACTTACTATTACTTGTTAATGGGTTTACTTTATGTTATTATTTGATCTCGCACCTGACACTCGTGACAGTAGTGTAGTACCAGTGTAGAAACTTTAACTTAACACACTGCATTAAGCCAAACCACCAAATATCATGTCATTGGTCTATCATAACATGGTGATGGCAGTGACAGCAGTGGTGGCTGTAGCAACGATGATGTCAGTGACAATGGTGAACCAGTAACAGCAATGATGGCAGTGACAATGAAGATAGCAGTGACAGCGGTGATGGCAGTGACAACGATGATGACAGTGACAACGATGATGACAGTGACAACGATGATGGCATAACAACGATGATGACAGTGACAACGATGATGACAGTGACAACGATGATGGTAATAACAACGATGATAACAGTGACAACGATGATGAGGTAGCAATGATTGTGACGGTGACATCGGTGACAACGATGATGGCGTTCACAACGATTGTGACAGTGACAACGATGATGACAGTGACAACGGTGAAGTCAGTAACAACAATGATGGCAGTGACAATAATGATGGTAGTGACAACGATGATGGTGCAACATCAAGATGGCAGTGACAACGATGATGACAGTGACAACGGTGAAATCAGTAACAACAATGATGGCAGTGATAATAATGATGGTAGTGACAACGATGATGACAGTGACAACGGTGAAGTCAATAACAATGATGGCAGTGACAATAATGATGGTAGTGACAACGATGATGGCAGCAAGATGGCAGTGACAACGATGATGACAGTGACAACGGTGAAACCGTAACAAACAATGATGGCAGAAATAATGATGGTAGTGACAACGATGATGACAGTGACAACGATATGACGAGCAGACAACGATGATGGCAATAACAACGATGATGAAAGTGACAAGATAATGGAAGTGACAGCGATGATAACAGTGACAACGATGATGGCGGTAGCAACGATTGTGACGGTGACAACGATGATGGTAGAGGACAACGATATGGCAGTGACAACGATGATGACAGTGACAACGATGATGGGCAGTGACAACGGATGATAACAGACAACGATGATGGCGGTGACAACGATGATAACAGTGACAACGATGATGGCGGTAACAACGATTGACGTGACAACGATGATGGTAGTGACAACGATGATGGCAGGACAACGATGATGGCAGTGACAAGGTGATGGCGGCGAAAATGATAACAGTGACAACCGATTATGGCAGTGACCGATGATGGCAGTGACAACGATGATGGCAGTCACATCAAGATGGCAGCAACGATGATGACAGTGACAACGGTGAAGTCAGTAACAACAATGATGGCGGTGACAAATAATGATGGTAGTGACAACGATGATGGCAGTAACATCAAGATGGCAGTGACAACGATGATGACAGTCGACAACGGTGAAACCAGTAACAACAATGATGGCAGGTGATAATAATGATGGTAGTGACAACGATGATGACAGTGACAACGATGAAATGTGACAACGATGATGCAATAACAACGATGATGAAAGTGACAATGATAATGGAAGTGACAGCGATGATGGATAAACGATGATGGCGGTAAAGTGTTGACGTACGCACAACGATGATGGTAGTGACAACGATGATGGCAGTGACAACGATGATGACAGTGACAACGATGATGGCAGTGACAACGATGATAACAGTGACAACGATGATGGCGGTGACAACGATGATAACAGTGACAACGATGATGGCGGTAGCAACGATTGTGACAGTGACAACGATGATGGCAGACAACGATGATGGCGGCGAAAAACAATGATAAATATCACTGACGCGAACCATTGAGGCAGCGACAACGATACGACAGGACAACCGATGACGCGTGGAGGCAACGATTGTGACGGTGACAACGATGATGAGTGACAACGATGATGCGCATAAACGATGATGGCAGTGACAACGATGGTGGCAGCAACGATGACAGGCAGTGACAACGATGATGACAGTGACAACGATGATGGCAGTGACAACGATGATGTCAGTGACGAATGATTACAGTGACAACGATGATGGCAGTGACAACGATGATGGCAGTGACAACGATGATGGTAGTGAAAACGATGATGACAGTGATAACGATGATGTTGGTGACAACGATGATGGCAGTGACAACGATACTAACAGTGACAACCGATGATGCGCAGTGATGAATGCGGTGAAGACGGTTGCAGTGACAGCGATGATGCGGCGGCAAGAAAACATGTGGTGACAACAATGATCACAGTGACAACGATGATGTCAGTGACAACAATGATGGCAGTAACAACAATGATGACAGTGACAGCGGACATGACAATGACAGCGGACTTGACAGTGACATCGGTAATGGCAGTGACAACGATGATAACCGTATCAGCAATGATAGCAGTGAAAATGGTGACGGCAGTGAAAACAATAATGAAAACTAAGACACTCCCAATTTATACTGTATAACATGACAGACAGACAGAGAGGTGAGTTACGCCCAGCACGTAAGAACCAGGCATCGCCAGGACTCGTAAGACTACAAAGGCTCTTCACACCTGATGTCGTCTCAACACACACCCACATCAAATCTTATCTCTATTTTTAACAAGTTTAAAATTCCGGAAAAATTTGAAGACTTAATTATAAAGTTATGATTTGAATAAGAAAAGTTTTGATTACATGGAGGTCATGGAGGTCTTGATTATAGACAGACAGACAGGACACAGACAGATCACTATATACCAAACAAATGGCAGATAGTCGGTTTAGTGTTCACTTCTGTCAATTATAACCTTTGTCAATCATTTCTGTTAGCATGAACAAACAGTTATTTTAAATATTCGATATGTGTTCTGTCATTCGGTTCTGAAATATGTCAAATAGGTATATAACAATGTCTCAATGGCGGAAAAGATGTACCTTGGTCACAGATGTTACATGAATTTCATAATAGAACAGGCTTGCAAATTGTAGAGAAGGCTATCAATGTCACGTTACTGCCACGCTGTCCTGCAACGATCCTGTTGGCGGTCCCCGTGAAGCCAGCTGCAGGTCCTAACCGTACTGTATACAGGTTGTAGCCGGTTTTATCTACGTACACACGATGTTGTTGAATGCCATCCTCTTTAGTACTGAGCTAGCGCTACACGAGCGGCTCTCACGTCCTCTGAATTGTTTAGCTGGGTACATTGTACCTGGTTCTTGTGATTCCAGCATACAAAGCCCTAGAAACAGTCATGGGTCATATGTGGTTTGCCATGGAAATGTTTGCCGAAGTGTATAGTTAAGTTCTCTAATGGTGACCGTTGGTAGCCTCAACAAGCATCACCAAAAGTCCTCTTCGCCTCGTCATCCAAAGGTGTGTCGTCCTCCAATGTCAGTTCTGCCTTTCCTGTCTCCAAAAACCAATTATTTATGTTGTGGTTCTTGGAATTGCCTAAAAACCTTCAGCTTCACATGAGTAATTAATCCATCACGATCTTCGTCTGACCTCGGCGATATCGTCTGCGAGGCATAGCAGGGTGCCTGAAGTGTGCCAGACCGACTATGTATCTGCCCTCGAGTGGGTGTCTCGGGCATGATGCCGATCTACAGATAAAGCATACCAAGTCACCTGGTATTCACTGTTTCACTGATCTCCGGTACATACCACTGTTTCGATTGATGTTTCATGGTTTCGAGTGGTCAACCCTCTGTGTAAAAAATGACCGGCCCGTGTAAAATGCACCATGGTAGTTATTATGTTGTTTATCAATATATTATCTGTTTGTCAAAATCTAATGGTGGTATGTCAATCTCTAAGTGTTACAATTTCAAACGTAGGTGAAAATACAAAAGTCTAGGACTGCTTTTATATCCTGTGGTCCAGAGGTACAACGGTCACAGAAAAACATTACTCTGACCACCTACGTGATAAGGTAGTCCCCATTAGAGGTTCACGGCGCCAAAGCTCGTTGAACAGGCTTTGTGTGAAATATAACAAAGTCTAGGACTGCTTTAGTATCTTGGTGGTCCAGAGGTAGCGTTCCCCTACAGACAGAGGCTCAGGCCGGGTTCGAATCGTGGCGGGTTGAGGTGTTGATTGTATGTAGAAGATCGCGTGCTTTATTGGGCTAATAAATATATATGGATCCTCGTGTTTAGAAGCCGGATTTGGTAAAACGTTACTCTGACGCCCTCGTGATACGGGTAGTCCCCGTAGGGGTTCACGGCGCCATAAGCTCGTTGAACAGGCTTTGTGAACTATAACAAAGTCTAGGACTGCTTTTAGCATCCTTGTGGTCAAGTTAGCGTTCCCCGGTCACAGTCATGGGCTCGTGGCCGTGGGTTCGAATCCTGGCGGGTTGAGGTGTTGATTTTGTAGAAGTCCACGTGCTTTTATTGAATGTAATATAATATATATATATATATATATATATATATATATATATATATATATATATATATATATATATATATGTGTGTATATATATATTTATATATAAGACTTGTGACAAAGACGCTACAACACAAGGATACTAAAGCAATCCTAATGGACTAAAACTGAAATATATATAATGTTCCTCGTGTTTCATACCAGCAGGATTCGGTAAAATGCTACTCCAACATAATTGCAGGGCAATCTCCATTTGGAGGTTCACGGCGCCATCAGCTCAATGAACAGGCTTGTGTGAAATATAACAAAGTCTAGAATTGCTTTGTATCCTTGTGGCATAGTTTGTAGCGTTCCTGGTCACTGCATAAGGTGTAGGGTTGAGTCAAGGCTGGTGTGGTCGTTGTTATATATATATATATATATATATATATATATATATATATATATATATATATATATATATATATATATATATATATATATATATATATATATATATATATATATATATATATATATATATATATATATATATAAATCGGAATTACTGGACTTTAATTTCTCCACTTGATTTGGGGTTTATTAAAGTTATTTGATGGTAATTGCAGTGGGCTATAGTGAGAAATCCGAACCAGCACAAGAGACACTTAATTTACTAAACAAAATGAAGTTGTCCGTGACCCGTGGAAGGATAAGCGTCTGTGACTGGGATAGACACACTGTAAAATTTACATATATTCCTCCATCACTACAAACACAATCAAATAATGGTACACCAATATCGCACTTCTTAACCTGAACTTAAAAACCACTACTCTGGGAATAAAAAGTTATACATGATATTGTAATTATTAGAAACTCAGGCAATGCCTCATTAGAGGACAATAAGTTTAAAGTATTAAGAAATGTTGCTTAGACCAGGCTTTTAAGAGCTTTCAACAAAATATCATTCACTGAAAATGGTATTAAAAAAAATATGAAATTAATCACTCTACAATGAATAGGCCTTAAGGGCACTCACCAAATTATATCCAGCACTGAGAAAATGGTATAAAAATCAGAGCTTATTAACCCCACCCTGAATAGGCCTTCAGGGCGCTCAACAAATTATATTACTAACAGATACACAATTCCTAACCTAATTTAACCACTACTCTGGGAACAAAGTTATACCTGAGATCAGGAATTATAAAAAGAAAAATGAAAATGCATTAAAGGAATTAAATTACAGTATCACTCTGGTTTCCTTAGTGACACAAACATTCAAAAAACAATACAATCAAAATCATTTAGGAATTATTACTACACACGTCAAGATAATATCAGTAACTGAAAAATGGTATTAACTACACACAAAAATATTGTCACTAATTGAGATGTTACTGGGTCCACCAATATCCGTGAACCATGCTCCACAACGCAACATACACCCGTAAAGGAGATAAAATGTTCCTCTTGGTATCCCTAGACTCCTGGTCTCAGTGTGTGACCATTTATTTACTCAGATTGCCTCAGTGTACTCTCAGTGCGTCCATGGGCGGGAAGAACGCCCTCCATTGACCGCGCAGTAGGTAATACTTCTAGCTGACCGAGGGCACGTGGTGTTGTGCACCACGTGGTAGAACTGATCAACCAATGCTGATGCTGGTCCTGTGTCGTTTTTAGTTGTCCGGGAGCACTCGTCCACTCAAGAGATCCTTGCTGCACTAACCAGGCAAGCCTACACTGATCGTTCCAACGGCGACAATCGCCAATCCTCAATCATCAACAGCAGTCTCAAGCGGCAGTCAATCTCTCACAGTCATCATTCTCGCAGTCAAGTGGGTTCTGACGAAACCCTGAAATACTCTACCGTTAAGCTCTTGTGCTCTATCACTGCCCTATCTAACCTCAATCTGAGAACGAATGAGACTTACTTGTTATACTGCAATGGCACAACACAGGTGGCTAGGCCGTGAACTATTTCTGTGGACGGACGCACAGGGACGTCTTGTTGGTCAAGAATGCTTTCGCGTGACTGAGAACTAACCAGCCTCGTGTCCTCTCAAGGCGTTAGCAGGCCTACGTGACATATTTTCCACTAACTAATAACTTTCTTGGGACACCTGTAACATTATTCAGACGATAAACGATCTATCATTACTTTTAATTAAATAACTGATATTTAGTTTCATAATTCCTTATATTAATTCAATAAAATTACATTTAGTATCTAGGCCTAGTTCCACAAACTCTCGCTACGTGCAGAGGCGCGATCTTCCTCGGACGACATTGAACTCAGTCTCTCCAGTAATTTGAAATTACTGGAATTTCAGATATTACATATATATATATATATATATATATATATATATATATATATATATATATATATGTTTTGTTGATGGATCTTGATCTCAGACAGTCCAGGACGCAGGGGTGAGCTGTGGTACAGGAGGCAGGGGTGAGTTTGGTACAGGAGGCAGGGGTTAGTGTGGGTATAGGAGGCAGGGGTGAGTGTGGTACAGGGGGACTAGGGTTGGTGTGGTCACAGGAGGTAGGGGTGAGTGTGGGCACAGATGGCAGGTGTAAGTGTGGGGTACAGGAGGCAGGGGTGGGTGTGATCAGAGAGCCCAGGGTGGAGTGTGGTACAGGGGGAGGGTGAGTGTGGTGCAGGAGGCAGGGGTGGAGTGTGGTACAGGGGGAGGGGTGGGTGTGGTGCAGGGAGGCAGGGGTGGGAGTGGTACAGATGGCAGGTGTGGGGTGTGGTACAGGGCAGGGGTGGTGTGGTACAGAGGCAGGGGTGGGGTGGTACAGGGGAGGGTGGTGGTACAGGGCGGGGGTGGGTGTGGTACAGGGCAGGGGGTGAGGTGTGATACAGGGGCAGGGGTGGGTTTGGTGCAAGGAGGCAGGTGTTTCTGGAACAGGGGCAGGGGTGGTGTGGTACAGAGGCAGGGGTTGAGTGTGGGCAAGAGGCACGGTGAGTGTGGTGGAGGCACGGGTGAGGTGTGGTGCAGGACGGCAGGGGTGAGTGTGGTACAGGGGGGTTGAGTGTGGCACAAAGGCAGGGGTGAATGTGGTACAGGA